TTTTTTTTGAGTTCTTGCCATTCAGGCTGTATCTTACAAGCAATACAAATAACCCCCTCAATAATCTATCAGCCTTTCCTCTTGCTTTTCGCCTTCCCAGCTGGCTGTCCAGGACTATATTCTCAGAGAGGCTCATAAAACAGCCACGCTCAAGGGGCATTTTTAAAAATGCGACTTTAAAAAATTGGAGCTATTTATAGATTCACACGCAGTTATAGGAAAGAATATAGAGAGAGACCATGCACCCTTTATCCAATGTCTCCTGAGGGTAGCGTTCTGCAAAGCTATAGTGAAATGCAGCGGGGACACTGACATTGATACAGTCAAGGTGTGTAGCTTCTCCGTCGCCGCAGGTGCCTGCTCTTCCGCTTTTCTCTCACCCTCACCTGCCCTGGAAACCATCTATCTGTTTTACATTTCTATAATTTGTTTCATTCGAAGATTGTGTAAATAGAATTATATATGCGGTACGTTACCTTATGGCAGTGGCTCTCCATCTTCCAAATGCCACGGCTCTTTAATACAGTTCCTCATGGGGTAGTGACCTCCAACCATAAAATGATTTTCGCTGCTACTTCATCACTGTCATTTTGCAACTGTTATGAATCATCATGTAAATATCTGATATGCAGGATGTATTTTCATTGTTACAAATTGAATATAATTAAAGCATAGTGATTAATCACAAAACAATATGTAATTATATTTTGTGAAATATTGATTTATAGTTACAAATAAATGAAATTTTGTTTTGAAGCATGGTGTAGCATGGGTAACAGTCTTCCTGCTGGGTACTTGTATGTGGGCGGATCTGCATGTGGGCGGACCTGCCTGGAGACGGATAGAGGAGCGGTGTCTTGGTTCCTAAGACCATTGGAAATATGTGTTTTCTGATGGTCTTAGGCGACCCCTGTGAAAGTGTAGTTCGACCCCCAAAGGGGTCACAACCCACAGGTTGAGAACCACTGCCTTATGGGATTGTTCCCCCATCAAACAAACAAAAACAGTAAGACTCGATGGTGATTCATCCACGTTGCTGTGTGTATCTACAGTCTGTCTTCTTTGTTGCTGAATACTATTCTGTGGTATGGGTATAGGACAATTTGTGTAGCCATTTATCCATTGAAAGATATCTGGATTGTTTCTGGTTTGGGGTTATAATGAGAAAGTTGCTATACATATTCATGTACAGGTTTTCACACGAGCCTCAATCTTCTCGTTACTTTGGTAAACGCCCAAGAGCGTAATTGCTGTGACATACGGCCATTGAGTGTCCAGTTAGTTGTTTGAGAAACTGCCACATTGTTTGTTCGTTTCCAGATGCCTGGGCCAGTTTAGATTCTCAGGACACTGCAGGAGCGATCCCGTTATCCATGTCCTCTCAGGCTCACGGTGCTGCCGCCAGTTTTCTCTCAGTCATTCCACTTGGTATTGACCCCTTCCTGTGGTGTGTGTCTTCCTAATAATTAATGGTATTGAACGTCTTTTCATGTGCATTTATCATTTGTCTATCCTCCTTTTGTTTGTTTGAAATGAACTTGTTTGTCACTGAAGATTCCAAGTCCATTTCAATTTTACTTCTCTCTCTCTCTCTCTCTTTTTCCACTCAGACCACTATTTAAGTTTGAAGGATAAGGAATTTAGTAGCATTTTTAAAAAGAAACATACTACATATATTTACATAGTCCTTTTCAAGAAATGAACTCAACAATAATATCCTGTTAAATCATCCAAATATGTGGTTCTTTTTCATTCCCCCATTCCACCTCCCTCCTTGCTCAATTACTTCCCTCATCCCTCCGTGTTTCTCCTAGCTTTCCTCTTTTGCCTGTTCATGAGATCTGCTCATTTTCAAACAGGATTTTTAAGGAAATGTTTTAATTTACTGTTGAAAATATGCTCAGCAGAACACACACCGGTGCAGCAATTTCCTCAAGTACATATAATCCACTGACATTGATTACATCCTTCATGTTGTGCGACCACTCTCGTCTTGTGCTTCCCAATTGTGTCTCCTCGTGCGCGCATCGACTCACTGCCTCCAAGCTCCCTGTCCAACCGTTCTATCTGCTCCTCTTGTCCATTTAATCCCATAGAAATAGTCCTTGAAAAGAATACAACATTCAAGGAATGTTTTCTCCAGTAACTCAAGTATTGTTTGTTTTAATGAAGACTCGGGGAGATATCTATCTATCTATCTATCTATCTATCTATCTATCTATCTATCTATCTATCTATCTACCTACCTACCTACCTACCTACCTATCTATCTATCTATCTATCTATCTATCTATCTATCCATCCTTTTGTCTAAGGATTACAGTTTAAAGCTTATTTCATGAAAATAGTTTCACGGGTTCTTCTACTCTCAGTGGGTCTAGATTCTCTGGATTTGGGAATTTGAAATTCTGTTCTACATATGCTCTTTTGGTCAGGATTCTTCTATAGAATCTTTGAACAAAATGGTGAGTGGATTCTTATTTTTTTAAGCGGTTGAGTTTTGAGAGCTCTTTATATGCTTCAGCATCGATATCCTCTGGTCAGAATATTTTCTTCCAGTCACAGTGTGCCTTTTATCTTCTTAACAGAGCTTTTTGCTGAGAAGAGAAAGCTCATTTTTCCTTTTACAGATGATACTCTGGTGTCAACTCTGAGAGCATTCTGTGTAGATCTGGATCCCGAAGATTTTCTTCCATGCTTCCTCTCGAGAAGCTTTATGTTTTCCCTGAAGCTGCGATTCCCTTTCGTTAGCTTTGCTCATGGGGTGAAATCGAGTTGAGATGTTGCTGTTGCGTGCAACATATAGAGTGTGGGTTACTCATAGATTGTGGGTTACTCATCGATTGTGGGTTACTCATAGATTGTGTGTTACTTATAGATTGTGTACAATTTATAGATTGTGTTACTCATAGATTGTGTGTTACTTATAGATATCTGCTCTCTAATGCCAATTGTTGAAAAGTTATCTTTCCTCCCCTGAATTGCTTTTGCATGTGGGGTTCCTTTGGGTGATTGTTTCTTTATATTGCCATATTAATCTATATGTCTATCCTTCTTCTAATATCACACACTCTTTATTATGGTAGCTATATGTACTAAGCCTTGAAATCAGTTAGACCGCTTTTTCCATGTGGCCCTCTTATTAAAAATTGTTTTAGCTATTACAGTGCTTTTCCCCATATACATTTTAGACTAATACTGTGAATGTACAAAAAGCCTTGCTGGGGTTTTAATAGGAATTGCACTAAACCTTTATATTAATTTGGAGACAGTGGACATCTTTGATATATTAAGTCTTATGATTTACAGGCATTGGTTTGTCATTCCATTTAAAAAATATTTTCTTTCATCAGCATTTGGTTGTTTTTAACATAAAAGTCTTGTACACGCTTTATTAGATTAACACCTAAGTTTGTTCTTCAAACAAGTTGCGTGGTTCTGTCTTGTAGCCGAGCTTCTCTAGACGTATTCCTGGACTGAGTGTGCCTCCTGAACTGTCTAAATGACCACGGGGAATTCAGTCTTAATGAAGAATCGCATGCATTTTGAATTCTCTAGATCAAATTTGGGATCCTAATTCTAACGCTTGCTACCTGTATGACCTTGGCTTTCAGTCTTTCATTTAAAAAGGTCCTCCAGTGCCTGTTCTGGGCCAACCACCATGGTGGACTCCTGAAACACAGTAGCGAGTGCCTCTAATTGCTCTCCTCCCTTCCTGGCTATCAACACAGCCAGTGTTGATACAAGAAACATATCCCACATTGGAGACGCTTTTTTTTCATCATGCCCATCTTTTGTTATAATTTTGTTCTTCTTTTGAATCCTTGGTCCTGATGATTATCTGCACACCAGCTAGAGTGATTTTTTAACAGCACACATACAGTCATTATTCCTTTGCTCAATAATATTCTGTAGTTACACCAGGTTGTACTGAGTATAAAACCCTCCCCTCCCCTTGGCGTAGTAGGCCCTGTGTGGGCTGGCCTTGGCTTTCTTCTTTGACTTCACTGGGCAGCCGTCCTCAGTCCTCAGTGTGCTTCCTGTACACTGGCCGTCTTCCTCCTGCGGAAACTATCAAGCTCATTCCACCCCAGGGCCATGGTCTCCGTTAGGCTCCCTGCCTAGGATACTTTTTCCACAGACTGGTTCCTCTTGTCCTTCAGGCTTCAGTTCAACCCCCCCCCTCCCTCCCCATGCAAATCACAGTTTATCAGCTGACTGTGTTTCACCCTTTGCGTTGACCTCATCACTATTTGAGATTATCTTGATTATCTGTCTCCTGGATTGTGCTCCGTGGGAATGGGATCTTGTTGTGTCCTTTACTGCCCGATTGCCCAGGTCTTAAAGCAGTTCCTGGCACAGAGAGTCCATAGAGGGGTTGAATCAGTTGGCTGACCTCTCTTGGGTCTCATTGTCTCAATTAGAACATCGTAGAGTAATTGGCCAATGAAACCAGATTGTGCTTGGAATTAAGTGAGATAATAGATGTATATGAATGTTAAGTACAGTGTTTCACTCATAGTAAGCCACCATAGATTGTTGTTGTTCCATCATGAATATTTCTGTCATACAAACATTCACTTTACAACCAGAATGCTCCTTAGAGAGGATCAGGAGACGGTGGCTCACTTAGTTTTGATGTGATGTCAGGCTAGACTAAGCTCTAGCAAAAGAGACCCTCTTTGGTAGCGAGGCCTGGAAAACGAAGGAAACTCTTGAGGTAATGGGTTGGCACCATAGCCGCAACATGCCAATGATCGTGAAGATGGTGTCGAGCTGGGAAAGGTTTTGTTCAGTTGCACATAGGTCACCATGATTCAGAGTAATGGCAACTAACAGCAGTGTTGACTTCTGTACTACTCTATTATCTATTTCTTCTTAGACTTCACAATCCCTCCAGAATGGCGTGCATGCTTATCGGTGACAGATTTTATGAGTATTTGCTACTGGTCAGATGTCAGTAATTAAATCCTAACTCTTCACCATATTTTTCTGTGCAGGTCCTGCAGCTGGGCTCTGACATCCTTCCCCAATACAAGCAAGAGGCACCAAAGACTCCTCCTCACATCATCTTACATTACTGTGTTTTTAAGACCACATGGGATTGGATCATCTTAATCTTAACCTTCTACACAGCCATCTTGGTCCCTTACAATGTTTCCTTTAAAACGAGGCAGAACAACGTGGCCTGGCTGGTGGTGGACAGCATTGTAGATGTCATCTTCTTAGTGGACATTGTGCTGAATTTTCATACCACCTTTGTTGGACCAGCTGGGGAGGTGATTTCTGACCCCAAACTCATCCGCATGAACTACTTGAAGACGTGGTTTGTGATTGACCTTCTGTCCTGTTTGCCATATGATGTCATCAACGCTTTTGAGAACGTGGATGAGGTTAGTGCCTATATGGGTGACCCAGGGAAGATTGATTTTGCTGATCAGATTCCACCACCACTGGAGGGGAGAGAGAGTCAGGTACATCCCTCAAATCTCAGCCTTGTTGTTATGTCGTTAAAGTTGCATTACTAAATGTGGGTGGGTCATCAACCGGAGACTGATTAAATGGGTGGGAACGTGCATGAGTGATGTGGAGAGGAGGAGGAGCATGTTCTTCCTCCCTGTGGAACCTTTGGAGGTTCGGACAGTGCATGCCAGTGAATCGGGGAGGGTTTAGGAGAACCATGCGTCTCAGTGATGTAAGGCCCGGCTCAGCAGCAGTGGCCTGCAGAAGAAGACATTCATTGCCACTGTATTGGTGAATCTTTCACTCAGAATAAAATTGTTGAGTGAAGACCTACCAATGATTGATTTCTCTAATTAGGCCAACTTTTCTGTCATGGACTGCTGCTCTTTAACTATTTAATGACTACCTAAATTTTGGCAACAGGAATGCCGTTTCTCCCCAAATTTTCTTTCAAAATTAAAATATATACATATTGGGGAACAAAGGAATGAGCTGTTTCTTTGCTCACAAGAGCTTTTGGAAGTGACCAGTGGCTTTCAGTTTTCCATTGTCTTCTCTGCCTGGATTTGCTGAGGTAGCCCGGTGCCTATCGCAATTACTGGGAAGAGTGATTATTATTGGGTTGGGCAGCATTGGATGGTTCATCCTGAGAACAATGTAGGGAATTAAAGGAAGAGAAATGCCTGGGATCCGGAATAGTCCAAACAGCCATAGTCTGGATGGGTGCCTAGGACATGGTGCAATAGGAGAGATCGCTGGGATTGCTAAAGTGATTTTCAAAAGGAAAAAAACCACACAAAACACAAGGATGTCGAGTTACTGCAAAGAAAATGGTCAGATCTTTATCTAGTTTAAGTGCTCCATGGGAATGACTCTTTCTTTATCTTACTCCTGGTTGACACTCCAGATAGATCAAGAGAAGGCAGTTCATTTGGCTAATCTTTAGCTTCTTCCAACAATGGACACTTATTGCCTCGGATTACAGAGGGTTCAAGACATCAGAGTCTGGCTGGGCCATTACCTGGGTGGGTAATTCAGGAAGCTGTGTGGTGGCTGAGTTCAGGAAGCTGTGTGGTGGCTGAGTTCAGGAAGCTGTGTGGTGGCTGAGTTGCTGCAAGACTTATTCTCAGGGCTAAAGGGTTCGTGGGGCTCAGAGAGTTAGTTGGAAGGGACCATCTGCTCTCCTGGCAATGACCTCATGTCAGGCGGGTGATATACGTGGCCTTGCTGTCTTCAGATCTGTACCTGTGGGATAGGACACCAGCCCCTTCTCTGGGGGAACTGACCTGTTTCATGAAGAGCAGTTTTTCTTGCAAAACGCTGCTAAGTTGTAGAACTGATGGAGAGAGCTTGGGTATTCAGATGCTCGAGACTTGGCCCACTCCTGCATCTCAGTATGTGGTGCTTTTAATACATTTCAAAATCCCAAAGACTCATTCTCTAGGTGGTGGCTTATGTGGATTTTGTGTGAGACTAAATGAGTTGAGACAGATCATAAACAAGAGCAGGAGCATCCCTGAAGTGGATGCTGGGATTCTTAAGTGTGAATTTTAGTACATGTTGGGAATGATCTTTTTCTCTGTGAGCCCATTTCTAGAAAACGTTCGTGTGGAAAATAGGACTATTTTTGGCTTAGGGAATTTAAATGTATTTTCTTAACCTGAAAGAGTCTCTTAGACACATATGGGAAATTAAATTTAACTTTAACTTTAAGAAACCGCTTACATTTTAAAAATAAACCATTTTCTGTTAATGGCAATGAGACGGAGATTTTGGAGAATAATCAGAACAGTTCTTCAACTTCTGCAGGTTCTTATTAGGAGTTGCCAGATCCACAAACACACATGTAACGGTGTCAAGTTTACCTGTACATTAGAAAGGTGGAGAGCTTTTCCAGAAACTTCCTGTCGGTGGCATTGGAACTTTGGGGGCTGTTGATTGTGAGTAGCCCCCATGATGTTACTGACTTTTGGCTTCATAAAATAGTTTGAAAAATGGGAGGCAAATGACATTTTCTGTACTTTCTAGTTGGTAAAGGATTGAGGTTCAACATTCTTAGTACCATTTTAAAAAAATCTTAAATTATAAATATTAGGGGGCTATAGTTACAATTCGCTCCCACAATGACCTGTTTTTTTGTTTTTTTTTAATTTTATTTTTTTTAAACATTTTATTAGGGGCTCATACAACTGTTATCCCAATCCATACACACATCAATTGTGTAAAGCGTATTTGTA